GTGCCTCTCAACCATTCCTTGAGCTTCTGGTGGTGAATCAGAGTAAACGTATGTTCTCGAATTTCAAGGAGATATGTGTCCCAAGTTACTCACTTAAGAATTCCTTCCCTTGAAGGGAAGGGCATAACCCAAACAGAATAAAAGATCTTTCTGGAAACCTTCTTCCCAGTGCTATTAGGGAAGATGCTCTCTTTTATCGTAAGTTTAGGGATGCGAGAGGCAATTAATTACACTGCCATTCAGAGAGGGCCTATCAAGACAGAGCCAAACAGAGCCCTGACAACATCATTTGAGCCACTGAACCCATCCATACCTGTACCGATGGACTTTTTCGTAATGTGAGCCAAAAAGTTAACTTTTTTGCTTATGGGTTGGATTTCTATCATTGCAATAGAAAGAGAATTTTTAACAGAACATTAAAAATGGCTAAATTTACATATCAACCAATATTTAGTGTATCTGCCAAATGAACAGTTTCATGTCCAGTACAATGGGAGATAAAAAGGAATTCTAAGACATGCCCCACATCCGTGGGGTATGTGACATCAAAATTATGTGATAGGTGTAGGATTGATTCTTCTCTTTTATAAAACTAAGGGAAACAGGGATTAATTGCATTGTAATATTTTCTAAAGATTTTCTTTAGCTTTAAAGTTTCATGATTCTACACCATAACTAAAAAGAATTAGTGAGTCACTGAAGATACTGAAATATGGAAGATTGGTATACAAAGCTAATTAAATGGAAAGAGACTAGAAGACTATAGCAATAAAATTTAGAAGGAACATTTCTTGAGACTGGTCTAGAGAACATGCAAGATCCATAGAGGGAAGGGCGTGAACCTAAGCAACATGTGAAAAAAGTATATAGAATATGAAGCTTAGGTCAAGACTGACTATTGACTCCAAGTTTGCTTGGAATAGTAAAAGAATAATAAAATATTTAAAATAAATGAGGTTGTTAGGAAAGTACAAGTATTATTAAAGGAAATTAGTAATCTGAGGTTGTTGGTATGTATTTAAAGTCTACAAACTTGAAAGCCTGGAACTGAAGTTCAAGCAGGAGGTCAGCTATGTAAGTGTTATATTTTGAGAATCATTGAACATGGAGGGGATAGAGAAAGTCATAGGAGTGAATAAAAGCAATAAACAATAAACAGTGATAATTGGCATGATTAGTTTATCAATAGGCAAAATATGTTAAAATTGCAAACTCATACTTCTTGAGCCTTTAAGTCCAATTTATAAATGTTGTTAGTCTATTTATAATCTCCTAATCTTAGCATAAAAGTATGGGCAATCACTTTCACTTATGCTCTATGATTTAATTAATTCACAAGCTTAACAGATTCCATGCCTCCTAAACATTTAACATAATTTGCATATTCAAGTAGTCAGCTTTTCTTGGCTATTTTATTGGGGCTCCTGAGTGGTTCAGTCAGTTCAGTTCAGTGGTTGAGCTTCTGACTCTTGGCTTCAGATCAGGTCATGATCTCACGGTTCACGGGTTGAAGACCTGCACAGGCCTCCACCCTTACAGTGCAGAGCCTGCTTGGGATTCTCTCTCTCTCTCTCTCTCTCACTCTCCTCTCTCTCTGTGCTTCCCCCACTTGCACATGCCGTCTCTCTCTCTCTCTCAAAATAAATAAACGTAAAAAATTTTTTTTAATTTAAAAAAGAAATATATCCAACATTCAGACAATGAAATCTTTATAAGTACTTATGAACTCTTGTAAATCCAATACCAATAATTCAATCTCATACACGTGGTCACAAAACACTTACGTGTTTCATACATCTTTAAAGTTGACAAAATACACAACACCACAATAATGAGAACTTTCACAAAAATAATGAAAATGGTACTAATTTACCACCTTTATGTTAAAGGTTACACACTGTGTAACCTTAGCTCTTCAAGACATGGAGATGAGCCACTCAGATCGTTTTTCAAGAAAGGACTTGCTGCCCTGCTAAAGGACAGGTGCAAGATCAGCAAATGGCCCCTCAGCTGTCGGCTCACTCAGGGCCTGCCTCAGCTGCAGTCTTCCCAGGGCAGCCCATGTATACTGAAAAATGGAGGACTATGAAGGGCAGGAGGTGAACACTCTGACCTACAACACTGGCTCCAGAGCTCCTGGTCTCATCACATGCTTCTGGCCAACCTAAGTGCAAGGCAAATTAACTCATGCAACCAACATGAGTGAACAGAATTGCTATCTTAGACCTTTTACAGCAACTGAGGCTGCAAATTTGGGTTGTCAGTTGAAGCTCTTGTCACTGCTTCCACTGATGATTTTACTTGAGCCCCAGGTAACACAGAGTTCTTTTTTAATGATAAGGCTCTACCTACTTACCCACTGTATTGCTATAATCTTATTCACAATAACATTCTAATACGAGTTTGCAAGTGCATGTGCGCACACATACACTTACGCCATCTAGACCCACATGGCTTGTAGTTCCCACAACCATCATTGCACCTAATCTAAGCTCTGCCACCAATTAGCTTTGGGAACTTGGGCAAGTTATTATCAATCTGTTCAACTTCTTTATCTGTAAAATAGGAACAATCATCTGATTGGGTTGTGGTGAAGAGTAAATGAGTTAATACCTTAAAAAAAATTTTTTTTAATGTTTTATTTATTTCTAGGAGAGAGAGAGAGAGAGAGACAGCGTGAGCAGGGGAGGGTCAGAGAGAGAGGGAGTCACAGACTCCGAAACAGGCTCCAGGCTCTGAGCTGCCAGTCAGCACAGAGCCCAACGCGGGGCTTGAACCCACAAACCACGAGATCACGACCTAAGCGAAAGTCGGACGCTCAACCGACTAAGCCACCCAGGCGCCTGGAGTTAATACCTTAAAAAGTGTGTAGAGGGGCGCCTGGGTGGCTTAGTCGGTTAAGCGTCCGACTTCGGCTCAGGTCATGATCTCACGGTTCGTGGGTTCGAGCCCCGCGTCGGGCTCTGTGCTGACTGCCAGCTCAGAGCCTGGAGCCTGTTTCAGTCTGTGACTCCCTCTCTCTCTGACCCTCCCCTGCTCACGCTGTCTCTCTCTCTCTCTCTCTCTCCTAGAAATAAATTAAAAAAAAATTTAAAAAAAAAAGTGTGTAGAACAGCCCACAGCTTCTACTACATACTCAATAAACATTAGCTATTATCATTATTGGTCTGAGTTCTCCATTGTCTATATATTTTCTAATCTCGCTCATCAGCCAACGTTACATAATAATTTATTGACTAAGAAATTACAGAAAAAGTTATGTTTCAAGTCCTTCATTATCAGACTCTTCAGATGCTTAAGATATAGATGAAGTCCTAGACTTTAGTTGAACTTGTTTAAACATTATTCCTTCCATCAACTGAATGTTTCAGATTTTCTCAATTCATAAAGATGCAAACCAGATGTGTGAAGAGTAAATTGGGACTTATATGTAATAGTTTATTATGAAATATAAAATATATGAAAATATGGGATAGCATTCCAATGTTATTATCAAGCTAGACAACTCCTGCCAAGTCCGGCAATGACAAAGAAATTCTTTGCTCTTCAAGTAAAACTGCATGGCCCCCTTCCTAAAAATGATTCCCTTTGTGGTTAAAGTTCACATGCGAATTAAAATTTTGATTATTTGATTTCACAGGAAGAAATGTTTAAATAATTAAGACATATGGATAGCCTACTTACTATAGGGCAAAGATCTGAAGATGCTAAATTACCTTAAAAATATTTAGGACCAAATGTTGTCTTCTAAGAACATTCCAAGGAAATCATCTATGCAGTCCTGAAAACTGGGTTAAGGAGTAGGTTTCTTTCTATGCCTAAGAGATCTGTTCACATATGCAAGAAACATATTTAAGGAAAACAGAAGCTGCCCTTGTTTTTGACCACAAGCTGGGGATTTTGTCATTGGTGCAGTGCCTGAAAACACGATCCAGTGTTCACTTAGCTATGTCCACGGGACCTCGAAAGGCTAAAATATTACAAACAATGGGACCTACTGTTTAATACTACTCGTACTTTAACAAATTATCCCTAGACGTCTATGTATTTTAAGGAAACCGACTCCTGGTCTCCGCGGCGGATCGCCACAGGGGAAAAACCCAGGCGGTAGCCTCTGCTGGGCTGTTTTTAATCCGCGGGGAGGGGCGTGGGAGAGAACCACGCTTAAAGCACCCGAAGGCGGCAGCTAGCAAACTTGAGGGTTCCAGAGGGCCGGCCCGCTGGTGCATGCGGCCGGGAGCTCCCTCGGGGAGGGTGCCACTGGTGAGGAGACGGAGCGAGCGGACTCTTCCTGTGACACAGCGGAGAGGCCGCTATCCCTACACACCCCCCACGGCGGCCCGCACCGCGTCTGGGGTCACCCGAGACCCCTAGCGGGAGGCTCAGCTCCTGGCCGAGCCCCCACGAGCCTCTGACACGGCAGCGTCGGGAGGGGCGAGGAAAAGACGGGGCGCCTTTCTGCACCCTCTCCAGAGGGGAAACAAGGGACAGAGGAGGCAGCTGCGTAACCTGGGCCTGGGGTGCGGCTCGGGGAACAAAGAGGTCGTGAAAGCAGCCGCAGCCAGGCTCAGCGCTCTCCTTGAGGTAACTGCGAAACCACACAAATCGCCGCCGCCTGGGCACAATGCCTGTGCTTGCGAGCATGCAGCTTCCCAGGGTCCAGTCCAGCTCCAGAGGACCACCGACTTTGTCAGGCAGCACCCAGAAACCTACATTCTAAACAAGCATCCGGACTAACTGGAGCTCAGGGAAGTTTGAAAACAATCGCTTCACGTGCGGCACCGGCCGAATCGTCCCACCGCCCCCAACCAGCGCGGCGGCTGCCGCAGCTGGGCCGCGCCTCAACCGAGCTTGGGCCTTTCCCTTGGTCCCGCCCCTCTGCCCAGCGCGGATTGGTGGCGAGGAGAAGCTCTGGAGCTGATTGGGTGGCGGAGGAGCCGCTCGTGGAGACTGTAAGTTTGGCTGCACCAGAGTGCTAAATTTATCTTCAGAGGAGCGACCGCGCCAGCCGCGGACGGGATCTCTGTGGAGGTGGCATAGGCGATATCCCTGAGCTGAGAGCCATCTCCCTGTCCCCGAATCCTTCCTCCCTCTGTTTTGTTTTTCATTTCCTCCTCCCTTCCTCCCCCTTCCAGTCCGCGACGACTGGCTCTTGACCCTGTTCAGGCCTCGGTGAAGGTGAGGACCAGAGCCGCCACGGCGGCTGAGCGGTGCGCTCTGAAATGGCCGCTGCCTTGAGCTGTCTAAAATGGCGGCCGCAGGCTCTGGTGGGGACCGCGGCGCTGCTTTGCAGCCCAGCCGCAGCGAAGACCGGTCTCCATCACCGATGGAGGTTGACGTAGAGAGATAGTGTTGGGTGCTGAGGAGACTTCCCGGGGACGCGAGAGAAGAGTTCTGGAGGCGAGGGTGGGCGAGCCCCCAGATGTGGCGGTCTGTTGGCAGCCTGCACCTGTGACAAGGAGGGATAGCTGGCCCGGGCAGCACATCGAAGTGACCGTTTAAAGAAGCATGTACGTGCTCGAAGGGGTGACCGCACCCACCTTCACCCTGGCTCTCTGGACTGCACTCATTCCGGCCCTCCTGCCCCTGAGGGTATTGTTCACAGCTGGAACCGCCTGAGGGTGGGGGTGATTGGACGGTATTACCTGTCAGTTAACCCAGGGAAGAGACAAAAGAACCGGGTTTCTCAGCCCGCCCTCGCCCTGCCATCCTTTTTGGGGAGTGGAATTGAAACTTTACTCTCTAGGGAGTCCAGACCCTTTGTCCTCGAGGTGGGGATGAGGCTTTACTTAGGAAAACAAAGCTTCCTATTCCGTTGTGTCCTTCTCTGGTACGGAGGGAGAGGGATCCTCATCCTAACGGGCAACACCCCAAATTCTCTGTTGCTAAAGTCATATTGGGATTGTAGAAACGAGAATCTTCTGCTCTTTTGCTCCTAATAAGTAGGGCTTTCTGTTGCTGCCACTTTGTGACCCTCGACTTTCTGGCAGTCGTAATCCATTGTAATCCATTTCCCTCTGTGTTGCCCGTTAGTATTTGGGAAATTAAAATACGAGGAACACACAGGAATGGACAGGCGCATGCAGTCCCAACTTTTTGAGTTCTACCCTTCGTTCTTCCAAGATGTGTTGGGTTAGCAGGTGACTTAACTTCTGTGTATTATTAATAGTCCCTGAATCTCACGTTTGTTTTGAGGATTCAATGAGATAAACTATATGAGGGATCTTAGTATTTACAAGCATAGTAAATAATGATCGCTCACTAAACGTTAGTAACCTAAATTAGGAAGGAGCTTGGTTAGGGGACAAAAATCGTTATAGCAAAAAAGCCTGTTTCAAATATCACTTCCCTGTATAATTCTGTTCTAGATTACTTTTAATGCTTAGTTCTAGAGACATTAAAATGTGGCTGTAATTTTAAAAGTTTAGTTTTTGAAAGTTTTTACATATGTTTCTATGAAGTCAGTGGTTGGGAGAGTGTCTCGAAACAATGAAATAAGGAGGGTATTAAATGAGACTAAGATATTAGCATTTTTACTATGCGAGGCATTATTGTTTTAGTTAACTGCATTGCAGTGAAGAGTCTTGCACTGCCTGGGTCTAAAATAAATTGTAATGAAAGGTCATCTTAGAAGTTCGTAGTTAGTTCTGCTTTTGCAGTGTCTAATTTTAATTTTTCTCATTCTAGGCTTTTGGTTACTCCCTTTCCACCCCATCCCTTAATTTTATTCTTTTGAAGAGTCTGCATTTCAAGCTACCAAGGTGGAGAGTGTGATTGCAGAAGGGAGTACTACTCATTGCAGGTATCTTACCATCTAGCTGTTAATAGGAGAACCATTTTGCTTATAAGAATTCAAAGCTTACTCTGTAGCCAAATCATGAAGTTTAAATCAAAAGCGGATATATTTGGATAGACACTAAATATGTATTTCTTAACTTGCAAAGTTAGTAGTCTTTAGAGGTCTTAAAATTTGCATTACTCTACCTTCTGATTATGCTCTTAAAAATTATGTGAGGAATAAACCTATTAAACTAAGAGTTTGTTTCCTTTAGGGCCTGGTTAAGTCTTCACCTGTAGCATAATGGAATACAGAGTAATCAGTAAAATACACATTACTTTGAATGGGTCTTAATTTGGGTAATATAAATATTTATGTAACTTTAATTCTAGAGAAATAGTAGGTGACTTTTGGTCATCAGTTTATTTTTTCAGTGTTAGCACAGTGTTTAGGATACAGAATTCTGTGTTTTGCAAAACTTTGAACTGTGTGTATTTTCAATCTAGCTCATCACAATTGTTGCTAGCCCTAGTAGGAGGCTTCAGATGTACAGTAGTATCAACAGTGAATATATGTAATGGCAGTAGGCATCAGAAAGTTAAAAAAGACTCCAAGACACTATTTGCCATGAGAAGGGGTTGGTAAATTATGTCCCAAACCTTACGCTGTGTAAATAGAGATTTATTGGGACACAACTGTGTCCATTCTTTTACATATTGTCTGTGTCTGCTACCATGCTGCAACTACAGAGTTGAATATTTGCAACAGAGACCATATGGCCCATAAAGTCAAAAACACTTACTATATTGGTCTTTACAGAAAAAGTTTGCCAACCCCTGCCATGGGACATATTCTTTAAGATCCCTTCCTTAAAAAACACACTTAGCTCTTCATTATTTCTCAGCCCACTGGTTTCCAAATTATGTTTTATAGAACATTAATATTCTCTAAGTTCATAGTGTTCTGAGAAAAAGATCAATGCTAACAATAATTTTCTTTATAGTTTATTTTAAAATATAAGTTTTAAGACTACTAAACTCATTTCTATAGCTTTATTTTTATGTGATAATCTACCTTTAAGAAAAGGTGTGCCAAACCTGAGAGCACCAGGAAGTCGCATGAGAGATCAGCTGATACACGAACGCGTGATGTTCCATCTGCGCATTGATGCATAGGCAGCATTTACAAATTAACTGATGTGTTGCTCTATATCATCTCTTTGATGATTGCTCATCTTCTGTGTATCCTGTCATATAATTTCAACATATTTGTGATACTCAATGTGTATTTTAAATTAACCATGTTTTGTACCACAAACACATTACCTATGGATCTGTTGCTGAAACAAGGAAGTCTTAAGCAAGAAGTAGAATCTTTTTGTTATCAAATTGTGTCTGAATCAAATGATCAAAAGGTTGGAATATTACAAAGTGAAGATGAACAATTGCAGCCTTCAGTTTCTAAAAAATCAGAGGGTGAGCTTTCCAGGGTCAAATTTATGTCCAATTCCAACAAAATAACAACATTTAGTAAGAAACCAAAAAGAAGAAAATATGATGAAAGTTACTTGTCTTTTGGATTTACTTACTTTGGAAATAGAGATGCACCTCATGCTCAGTGTGTGTTATGTAAGAAAATTTTATCAAATAGTTCTTTGGCCCCTAGTAAGCTTCGAAGACATTTGGAAACTAAACATGCTGCTTATAAGGACAAAGACATAAGCTTTTTCAAGCAACATCTTGATTCACCTGAAAATAATAAACCCCCAACACCTAAAATTGTCAATACAGATAATGAAAGTGCTACAGAGGCATCATACAATGTAAGTTACCATATAGCCCTGAGTGGAGAGGCTCATACTATTGGAGAATTGCTTATCAAGCCTTGTGCTAAAGATGTCGTGATGCGGATGTTTGATGAACAATATAGTAAAAAAATAGATGCAGTACAACTATCAAATAGTACTGTTGCACGTCGAATTAAAGATCTTGCTGCTGACATTGAAGAAGAACTTGTTTGTAGACTGAAAATTTGTGATGGGTTTTCACTGCAACTAGATGAATCAGCTGATGTTTCAGGACTTGCTGTGCTGCTTGTATTTGTTCGTTACAGGTTTAATAAATCTATTGAGGAAGACCTACTCTTATGTGAATCTTTGCAAAGTAATGCTACTGGTGAAGAAATTTTCAACTGCATCAACAGTTTTATGGAGAAACATGAAATCGAATGGGAAAAATGTGTTGATGTTTGTAGTGATGCTTCTAGGGCAATGGACGGGAAAATTGCTGAGGCCGTCACCTTGATAAAATATGTGGCTCCCGAAAGCACCAGTAGTCACTGCCTATTATATAGACATGCACTAGCAGTTAAAATAATGCCTACATCTCTGAAAAATGTGCTAGATCAGGCGGTACAAATCATCAATTACATTAAAGCTCGACCACATCAATCTAGGCTGCTAAAAATTTTATGTGAGGAAATGGGTGCCCAGCATACAGCACTTCTTCTGAATACAGAGGTGAGGTGGCTTTCCCGAGGTAAAGTTCTTGTAAGGCTTTTTGAGCTTCGTCGTGAACTATTGGTTTTCATGGATTCTGCTTTTCGACTGTCTGATTGTTTAACAAATTCATCTTGGCTGCTAAGACTTGCATATCTTGCTGATATTTTTACTAAATTAAATGAGGTTAATCTATCAATGCAAGGAAAAAATGTGACAGTTTTTACGGTATTTGATAAAATGTCATCACTGTTAAGAAAATTGGAATTTTGGGCTTCATCTGTAGAAGAAGAAAACTTTGATTGTTTTCCTACTCTCAGTGACTTTTTGACTGAAATTAATTCTACAGTTGATAAAGATATTTGTTGTGCCATTGTGCAGCACCTAAGGAGTTTGCGCTCTACTCTGTTAAAATATTTTCCTGTAACAAATGACAATAATACTTGGGTTAGAAATCCATTTACAGTAACTGTTAAACCAGCCTCATTAGTAGCACGGGACTATGAAAGCCTGATTGATTTAACATCTGATTCTCAAGTGAAACAAAATTTCAGCGAACTTTCCCTAAATGATTTTTGGAGTAGCCTAATTCAAGAGTACCCAAGCATTGCAAGGCGTGCAGTTCGTGTACTTCTTCCTTTTGCTACGATGCACCTGTGTGAAACAGGATTTTCATATTATGCTGCAACAAAAACGAAATACAGGAAAAGACTTGATGCTGCACCTCATATGCGGATTCGACTTAGCAACATTACTCCTAATATTAAGCGGATATGTGATAAAAAGACACAAAAACACTGTTCTCATTAAAATTAGAGGGTTTTGCATGTCTCTTGATAACCAAGTATAAGATGAAAATAAAATGATTCACCCTATCTCTGGTATTTTGGGGTTTTAAATAAAATGATTCATATTTTTTATGCTTCTTAGACTTTAGGAAAACAAAAAAAATCAGGAGTTTTAAGCTTATGTTGTTGGTATTCTTCACAGTGTAATTTCAAAGAGTTCCATGGCCCTAACTGTGGGAGATGTTGATCCACAAGATAAAATCCCAGTTCCTTAGCATAATATATCTCTTTAGCATCTAATCACTCTGAATCTTTCTGGTCCTTCCTACCACGCAGCCTTCCAGTCACATGGAATGTCTTGCCATTCCGTAGACACATCACACTGGTTCATGTTTTGGGGGCTCGAAAAATATTCCTTCCCCTTGCTTCCTGACAAACTCTTATTTGCATTTCAATGCTTTGACTTAACTTACCCTTGGTACTTTGATTCTCTGTTATCTTTCTCTTGTGGCCCTGTTTTTTGTTTCTATCTTAACTGTGAACTTGGTGGCCTCGTGATTCCCAGTGTTATTGGACTGAGCTCTTATAAGGTCTTATTCAGCACTGTGTCTCCATTGCCCAGCAAAAGGCCTTACTAAAGTAAAATTCTCAGTAGAGGAAAAAATATTGGTGAAGGTGAATTAACAAAAAATGGAATAGGGTATAGTGGCTTATATTTGTATATCTGCGTGTGTTTTTGGCTCAATTATTCTCTTACCTAGAATTCATGAGGCAGAAGTCACTAAATAATGTGACAGCTTTTAAAATTTTTTTAATGTGTATTTTTTAAGAAAGAGAGAGAAACAGCATGAGCAGAGAGAGAGGGAGACACAGAATCCGAAGCAGGCTGTAGGCTCGGAGTTGTCAGCACAGAGCCCAACGCATGTCTCGAACCACGAGTTCATGACCTGATCCAAAGTTGGATGGTTAACCAACTGAGCCACCCAGGAGCCCCTGTCACAGCTTTTATCCAAGCTGAACTATTGGGAGAGAGGGGAGGAAGTATGAGGAATGCTTTCAGATATTTTCATTGTTTCTCACTTCCTATATAGAGTATTATAAATTCCATATACTGTAGACTAATGTGGTTTTACTGTAGTTGAAAATGACTTGAAACCCCTATCAATTTATTCTTAGAATTCTTTGAAAGAGTTCTGACTTTCCATAGGCTCTCTTCCCATATCACCTCACATGTCGCAGGTCACCAGCTCAATGTTAAATTATTTTGTGTTACTCCTATATGGGTAGCCATTATTTATTTAGTCTCACTCAAACCAAGTTCACATTTTGGTGAGTAGAGTACCTCCTCTCACTAAGGCAGAAAGTGATAATGGGGCTTGAACTCAATGATCCCATAAAATCATGATCTGAACTGAAATCAGGTATTGGATGCTTAACCAGCTGAGCCATTCAGGTACCCCTTGAGATATCTTTCTTTACCTGTAACTTCCTCCTCTAAGAGTCTAGATTCTTGGATTAAACCCAAATCATTTGACTGGGGCCCTACTGTCTGGTAATAATAGACCACTTTAATGCCAACACTATCCAACTTGGTTTTTTTTTTCATTATTATTATTTCTGAGAGAGAGAGTGAGGCAGCGTGAGCATGGGAGGGTCAGAGAGAGAAGGAGACAAAGAATCTGAAGCAGGCTCCAGGCTCTGAGCTAGCTGTCAGCACAGAGCCCAGTGCGGGGCTGGAACCCACAAACCGTGAGATCATGACCTGAACTGAAGTTGGACACTCAACCGACTGTGCCACCCAGGCACCCCGTTGGTTCTTGATGCCAACTTCTCATCTTCTCATTCTGTAACATAACAGGACTAACCTAGGGATAATGTATGTGGCTATTGAGAGTAGACCTTTAGCACCTGAAGGTGGGCCTGGGACCTGCCAGATGATAGGCAAATCTAGTTCCAGACAGCAGCTTCTGTGTTACCCTAACCTACTGTAGGTACCATGACTGAATCCCAAGACAGAAGATTTTTTAAAACCCTACATATTCTTCAGACTTGGCCTTTCTTAAATAAAAGCAAAGCAAACAAAGTCTTGAAACACTGTCAGACTCCCTTTCTTTGGTACTCCAAAGCCCCTTGGTTACTCTTCTCTCAGTACGCCCTATGATTTCAGATACTAGAGACTATCTGGAGCTAGAGGGAAGCCTCTGACAAACCATTTAACACAAAAGAGAAAACCGCTCTTGAAGAAATGGGTGGCATTCTTCATACGGAAAGAGATATTTGGGAACTAAAAAATACCTTATGGCATCCTCAAATAATAGCCACCCTTCCTGTGCGTTAAACAAAATTTGTCTCCTGTATCTAACCCAAGAAGACTTTTCCACTTTGAATTTCTATATTTAAAGTAATTAAAGCTGCAGGGTGCCTAGCTGGCTCAGTGGTTAGAGCATGCAACTCTTGATCTCTGGGCCATAAATTTGAGCTCCTTGTTGGGCATAGAGTTTACTTAAGAAATAATAGTAATAAAAAATAGGTAATTGAATTTGCCTTTATTTCTTAATGAGGATTGTTTCCTGGTACCACACATACGTAAATACTTAGATCATAATTTCTTGTATCTAGGACTTCTTTAGGATCATTCATAGATCTTAGTAAATTTCTAATCATACAGAGGGGCATGTGGGTGGCTCAGTTGATCAAACATCTGACTTTTGGCTCAGGTGATGATCTCATGGTTCGTGAGTTTCAGCTCCACATAGGGCTCTCTGCTTTCAGCACAGAACCCGCCATGGATCCTCTGTCCTCTCTTTGCCGTTGTGCACATGATTGCATACTCTCTATCTCAAAAATAAATACATATTTTTAAAAAAGTGCTCAGTGAATTGAATTCCCTGCCTTAAAAGGTAAAATACTAAGGTGAAATACAATTAATACTGTAATATTATAAAAATTAGCTTTAAAATTCTTAGCCTTACTCAAACATAAAAAGCAATAAGTGTTCTTTGCCTCTCAAAGACTTCAAAAGTGGCATTTTGTAAATAAGCTCCCATATTGCCTTAAAAATGCAGTTTTACTCCCCAAAATATAATTTACCTGCAACTCTTGAAAGAATCCATCAACAGTATAACTCTTAAGTGCCTCTGGAAATTACTCATGTCCATTATTTTCATTTTCTAAAGTCGGTGTAACTGCTGTTAATTAGTACAATGGAAAGAATTCTGAAGCAAGTATCAAGAGACTTGTGTTCTACAACTAATTAACTGCCTTAAGTTCATCCTCCTCTGTAGGCCTTAGTTTTCTGACTCAGTTAAACTAAAATGAGATCTAAAGTTATTGTTCAAATAAGATCCAAATTTAAACCTAAATAGTGCTCGCTTCGGCAGCACATATACTAAACCTAAATAAAGATTAGGGTGATGATAAAGATATGCTTAGTTATTTGAAATATGGGGTTTTTCCCTAAAGCCAAGCTTTTCAAGGAGTCTTTTACCATAATACTTTCCACTAACCAAATGATAAAATTTATAAATTGCCCCATCATGGATACTTACTTGATGGAATGAAAAAAACTGCTTTGGAAGAGAGTTACACTTTGAAATTGAGAAAACATTGCAAAAATTTAAAAATGCTTGGCTATGACTGTATTGGAATCCAGTATAGATTAAATAATAAAAGTGTCCGGCAAGCTGTAGAAATTGTTGATTCTATCCCCATCATCTATTTTCTTCTCCCAAATTGTATCAGTTTTCTTCCAGGTATCCATTTTTCCCTTATATAATCCATGTACTGAAGCAACAGCTGACCCCACTCCAGTTTGGGGAGTGAACTTACTTTACCTAAGATAGTAGTTTTCAAGCTCTTTTTGACCTCAGTTTGCAATAAGAAACAGATTTTACACTATAATCCAGGTGTGTGTATGTGTGAGCACTAAAGTTTCATAAAATACTAACTCTTCATATGTGCAACGCAATCTCAAATCTGTTTGATTTTTTAAATGAAGATTAGGTCCTGAAGATTAATTTCACGATGCTTTCTTGGGTCATGATTCACCATTTGAAAAACACTGGTGAGTGCAATGCCATTGCACTTAAAAAATTGTTCAAGAACCTGGATCTAAGTTTATTAGGCTTATTCCTCTGATCACAGGAATTTGTCCAGAGTAGCATGTGACCCGGTATAGGCTAGTGAAAAGCAAGGGCAGATTATTATAGGGACTTTGAGAGAAGATGTTTCCTCACTTTTAAGAAATCAAGGTCCTGGGGCACCTGAGTGGCTCAATCGGTTAAGCATCCGACTTCAGCTCAGGTCTTGAATCTCGCGGTTTATGAGTTCGAGCCCTGTGTTGGGCTCCGGGGTGACAGCTCAGAGCCTGGAGTCTGCTTCAAATTCTGTGTCTCCCTCTCTCTGTCTGCCCCTCCCCTGCTAGAACTCTTGTCTCGCTTTCAAAAATAAATAAACGTTAAAAAACTTTTTTTAAAAAGGAAAAGAAATCAAGGTCCTATGTACTTGGAAGAACTGGAATTGCTGCATCTCTCTAGCATGGGGATAAAGCCAACACACAGAGGAGGGCAGAGCCCTTGATTACTGAATCAGAGTACTTGATTACTATACTGCCTGTCATTTTTTTGTTACCTAGACCAATAAATGCCCTTTAATAAGATAGTTTACATTGGAGGGGCACCTGGGTGACACAGTCGGTTAAGTGTCCAACTTCAGCTCAGGTCATGATCTTGCAGTTCGTGAGTTCAAGCCCTGCACCCGGCTTTGTGCTGACAGCTCAGAGCCTGGAGCCTGCTTTGGATTGTGTGTCTCCCTCTCTCTGCGCTTCCACCGCTCACGCTCTGTCTCTCTCAAAAAATGAATAAACATTAAAAAAATTTTTTTAAATAAAAAAAGATAGTTTACATTAAATTTTCTATTACCATTGGCAAAATCCTCATAACATAGTCCAAAAGGGAAAGCAATATAAAACTAGAATTTATTGGTAAACTTAGCTTCAGTGTTGAGATGAGTACCATCCCAAACTAAGATAGCCTGGTCTCTTTATTAGCATCTACCATAGTTTTATCATTCAGAATTAT